AAGTTCTCATTTAGGAAGAAAGAGAAAACAGCAATTTAAAAGAAGAGGGGTCAGACTTTGTTTTTTACTTGAAATGGTTTGTTTCCTTTCTTCCAAGTTCTTGTTTCTTTTCTCTTCCATCTTCCCTTCCTGGTCTAGTCTGCTGGGCAGGCTTTGTGTTTCAGTTGCCTGAAGATGACTAAACAATTCAGAAGTGAGAGAGCTTGGGAAAGAATTCCAGAATTTAAAATTAAAATTCATTTATTTTAAATAACTACTTTTAAGACCTATACAGACAAATGCAAAGTGCTCCACTTAGGAAGGAACAATCCATTTCACACATATAGAGTGGGAAGTGACTATCTAGGAAGGAACTGGAGAAAGGGATCTAGGGGTCATAGTGGACCACAAGTGAAATAGGAGTCAACAGTGTGATGCTGTTGCAAAAAAAGCAAACATAATTCTGGGCTGCATTAACAGGAGTGTTGTGAGCAAGACATGAGAAGTCATTCTTCTGCTCTACTCTGATCTGATCTGTACTGATCAGGCCTCAATTGGAGTATTGTGTCCAGCTCTGGGCACCACGTTTCAAGAGAGATGTGGGGAAATTGGAGACGGTCCAGAAAAGAGCAGCAGAAATGAATAAATATCTAGAGAACATGAGCTGTGAGGGAAGACTGAAAGAACTGGGCTCTTTTAGTTTAGAAAAGAGAAGACTGAGAGGGGACATGATAGTGGTTTTCAAGTGTCTGAAAAGGTGTTACAAGAAGGCGAGAGAAAAATTTTTCTCCTTGGCCTCTGATAGGATAGGACAAGAAGCAGTGGACTTAACTTGCAGCAAGGGAGGTTTAGGTTGAACATGAGGAAAAACTTCCTACCTGTCAGGATGGTTAAACACTGGAATAAATTACCTTGGGTGGTTGTGGAATCTCCATCACTGGAGATATTTAAGAACAGGTTGGATAGACCTCTATCACGGGTGATCTAGATTGTGCTTGGTCCTGCTGTGAGGGCAGGGGACTGGACTTGATGACTTCTCTAGGTCCCTTCCTGGTCTAGTATTCTATGATTCTATGAAATATCTCTCATAGTCTAGTTATAACAGAGCCACTAGTATTTAATATAAAGGGCAAATATTAAAGCAATAAAATAGTTTCTTTGGCTAACTCAGTTTAATTTTTTTTAAATGTTCTAAATGTTTTGGAGGTTCTTTAAAAATATGCTTAATCAGAATATGGAATTTTTGAAAGTATGAATTCCTGTACAATTATTGCCACTGTATATTGTTTTTCTTTCACCTTTTTCATATTTTTATTGTATATATTATTTCACTTTTCATTCTTTTGAGTTTGCAGTTGCATCAAGGCTCTTAATGTTGTGATTCACTTTGTGAAGTTAAATGTGCTTCAGACAGTGAACAGATTTCTTTACTGCCATGACAGGTTTGTTTTCTTTTCCTTGAAGGTTGTTCATCCAAAAACAGATGAGCAGAGATGTAGACTGCAGGAAGCATGCAAAGATATTCTCCTCTTCAAAAACTTAGATCAGGTAGTACTGCTACAACAGACCTGGCATGTCTGTCTAATGTTAATGTTCACATACACTGAACACGTAGGGTGAGGTGGGGTGGGGGTTGTAGGTGATGGATATACTTTGTCTGAGTATTGAATAAAGGGTAAATAAGTAATCATCTGTCTTCTATTTTGCCTACTACATAATTAGTTGGTTAATTTTTCACACATTTTGTGAATCATTCTTCTGTGGTTGGACTGTTTTTCCTTTTTTAGTGAGGGGCTACTAATAGCCAAGCAGATAAGGGATTAATTCTTTATTTCCACTTGGAAGCCCTAGGAGGATTACCAAGGAATTGCATGGTAATAATTTCCCAACAATCTGTGAAATCTAGTTATGCGACATTTACCCCATTCAGTATCTTCATTGTGTAGCCTGACCGGTAGGATGTATCATTGAAACAGTATTGCATTGTTATACAAACTAAGATCACTGGTCCTCTTTTCCAGATCCGGCTCCCTTGGGGTAATTTGTCTTTCAGCATCCTTGCCCCCAGCATATTATACACAGAGACATTTTTGTTAGGAAGACGGTCTACAAAGATTGATATAAATTAGTCCTACCTTTTGTTTGTCCTAATCACGTAGACACTGTCACTTCAATAAAAGTTAATTTTCTGGATAAATCAGGTTTTCTGGAAAGTTAAAAAACATAATGCCCGACTTGAACATATTGGTACCAGGGCAGAGTGGACCGAGTTAGTTTTGATCTCTAAGTTAGAAAAGTTTATTTATTGAATTATTGGCCAGCCATGTGTATTCCTATCAAAGAAGCTATATCAGTTTACAGTTTTACACTCTGAGAATCTAATCCATCTTGTGCACTTTGGCATTGAACCTATAGCAGTGGATTAGCTATTTAGGCTTGAAATACACAATGCGATTATTATTGTAAAATTGAAAGCTGTTTAATGTCAAAAGACTGTCCTGTTCAGAATATGAAAATCAATGTGCTTTACCACTCACTGTTCAGAACAGAAGTTCAATGGACCATACTTTTTCCAGTGAATAATGTTAATGCAGCTTATTTTAACCTTCCAGGAGCAGTTGTCTCAGGTTCTCGATGCCATGTTTGAGAGGAAAGTGAAACCTCAGGAACACGTCATAGACCAAGGAGATGATGGAGACAATTTTTATGTCGTTGAGAGGTAGGAAGATGAGCCATTGACTTGTATGAGTTCTGTGGAGATTAGAGCTCAGACTTTCAGTTCCATTTCAATCGTGAAAATAGCAGGAAGTGCATATAGACTCAGCACCTCACGTAGCTTTTGTTTTTCTTTATTTTTTTATTCACTGCCTTTAGAGGCATCTATAAATAGCTTTCCTCTATTACAGTGAAAGCTTTGTTATCCAGCTCTCATGGGGAATGGGGGTTGCTGGTTAATTGAATGTGCTGGAATACAAAGCTTATTGCTCTGCACTGCCTCCCATTGGCAGATCCAGTTCTGGTAGCTCAAGTCAGACTGAGGGCAAAGGAGGTGCCTGCTGATGACATCAGCCCTCCCCCAGTGGCCAGCTGGACATGCAAAGTGGTATTGTGGCGGGGAATAATGCCAGTTAACAGAGTGCTGATTAACAAAGCTTTCACTGTATTTGGCCTGTTCTTCTGTACTAGGTAGCTATTGTAAAGGATGCTGTCAGTCAGTCTATAGATTCTCTTGCAGATCAATGGGTTCTACGTGTCTGTGTAATTAAAAGAATCTCCCTTTCATAAGTATAAAATAGTTTTTTAATCCTTTTATAATAAAGGCATTGAGAGAAACTGTGGTGTATCAGTTTCCTCTTATAAGCATCTCCTAGTGACAGTTCTGTTGATGAACACCCACTTAGTTCTTCTGCAGATATGAAGACTATGCATTTGTGGCTCCTATAAAACGGGGATGTTAATATGAATAATCTTGAGGAATGTCAGGATAAGTGGCTGTGGGAACAGGATCTTGATTCAGCCACAGATGTTGACTCATCACATAATTATCAGATGCTCTTCTTTCAAATAATGGCACCAATTAAGTAGACACTAAAGATTTCAAAACAGTTCTTTAAAACTCCCATTTTCTTTGGATTGTCATTTATGGTATTTTTAGGGAGTTTACAAAGCACTTCTACGTTGGGTGCTTGTATCCTAGTTAATTCAGCCAAATTCCTATTTTGATGAGCTCATGTTCTACAAATAATCTGTCATCTACATAAGATTTTATACTGAAAGCTAGCTGACTGCAGAAGATTTAGGGCTGAGTTTGTGCTACATGTGACTTTTTTTTTTCCTCCAGAGGATTTGACACTTGTTGGTACTTTACTGCTGTCACCAGTATGGGCAAAATTGTGCAGGTCAAAAAGACAGTACAGGCAGTCCCTGGGTTACGTACAAGATAGGGACTGTAGGTTTGTTCTTAAGTTGAATTTGTATGTAAGTCGGAACTGGTACATATTGTAGGGGAAACTCTAGCCAAACATTTCTCCAGAGCTCAGTTTTATTCTCCCACACCTCACTTCCCTCAGTCCTTTATTCTCAAGCTGAGGTGTCTGCTGAGAAAAGCCGCTCCGCGTCTCCCTGGTCTGCTGTGGGGAAGCAGCTAGTGCGGGGTTGCCTCACCCCGTTTGTAAGTAGGGATCCGATGTAAGTCGGATCCATGTAACCCGGGGACTGCCTGTATATTGAAAATGAATAAAGCCTGATAATTAAGGAACTCCTCCCAGCTAACTCAAACTAGAAGTATGAGACCCATGAGCAGAAATCCAACAATGTGGCATCGTTAGGGAAATGCTTTTGGACATGGAAAGTAGATATAAAAACAAAATATGGATAATATTAGACTTTCAAAGATGATGATTTGTGGAACATACAATACAGCAGACACCATTGAATCTGCATTTCTCAACTGCCTTCAATACCTACTTACCAGGCTTTATTCACTTACACTCAATATATTGTTGCTCGTGGGTGTCATACTTCTAGTTTGAGTTAGATGGGAATTCCTTAGTTTTCTAAGGCGTTTGGCTCTTTAATACATCAATGTGTCTTCTGTGTAGAGCAGTTGCTGGTCCCCAAGAACATTGCCTTCCAGTTTCTTTCTGATCATGGTTAACAAAGGAGCTCCCTATTTAAACTATAACTGTTGTGGCCGATTTCAGCTCTCCCCTTGCTTGGAGACATTGAAGACAGACCTTTATCCAAGCCTTCTGGCTCCGGTGGAGAGCAGTAAACTGAGCCAACAGTGCCTTTGAGGCTTGTGGTTTGGGTTCACTTGACTTCAGAGGCACTAAGATGGCTCTTCAAGGTTCCTTGAATGAAGGGCAAATTATGATTAGAGGACATTGTACTGGAGGAGATCTTCTGAGTAATCATATCTAGCCCTCTGCTTTTGTAGGCAACTCTAGCATATTTTCCCATTCACAAATTTATCAAGCTCCATCTTAAAACTAGTTAGAGTATTTGCACCTACTACTTCAATTGGAAGGCTGTTCCAGATCCTTATTCCTCAGATGGTAAGGAACCCTTCTTCTAATTTCCAGCTTAAATTTATTCATGGCCAGTTTTTACCCTTTTGTTCTTGTGCCAACATTTTACTTCAACTTAAAAAGCTGTACGTCCTGATGTATTTATGGAGCACAATTGGATCTTCTCTCAGCTTTCATTTTGTTAGGCTAAACAAGCCACACTAAGTTTTGCCTCCTAAGATAGGTTCTCCATTCCCTGATCGTCTAAATAACCCTTCTCTGAATTGGTTCCAGTTTGAATTTATCTATCTTGAATGTGGACAACTAGAATAGTACATGTGGTTAGATGTTGATAGATGTTTGGCTGCATGCGTATGTTCCTTCTGTATGCCATTCCAGCTCTGTGCAGACAGCTGTCATGGCAGACCTTGAGCAAACTATCCAGGATCTGTTAAGGGAAAAAGGCTCGAAGCCAGGTTTATTATCAATGAAGCATGGTACTAGTATCCTGCATACTCTACCAGACCAGCATGCCTGTAACAATGGACCGGTTCAATAAATGGCAGGACATTCCGTTCCTACCTAGGCTAGACAAATATTCCCTCTGACATATGGTTTTTATAGCCCAATGCAAACAAGTCAGTACTGCCTTCTGATATAGTTACTGCCCCCTGACAAGGTTAGTTATTACTTATTACCTAGTACATGCTGGTTCAATTAAAACATCTCTACTACACATTCTGACCTTATCTTTTAGGATGGGTCAGTATGTTCCTATTATTCTTGAGGAATGTATGTGTACCATACTTGATATTGGTATATGTTTGCATGAGTGCTTTGTAACTAGCACGTTCTTAGAAATGTGTATTTCCGCAATATCAGACCTATTCTTGCCAGACTGTGAGAGCAGGTCCGGCCTCATTTCAGGCCTCTGATTCAAAAGCTTATGTCTCAGGCTCTCATCCTACTACAGTACACAATATTTCGGATTAGGTATTAACAGTGCCTTGTGTAATGGTATTAATACTTCCCTTTCTTTACTGTAAATACCACATCTGATGTGTCCTAAGATCACATTTGCCTTTTTCGCAGCTATATTACATTGGTGTCTCCTAGTCCTCCGTGATCTATTAATTAATCCAAGTCTTTCTCCTCCTCTTTCGTTTCCAGCTCCCCTGTCTTAAAGCAGAAATTTTTCTTTTTAGCCCCTAAATGCTTGACTTTGCACTTCATACTATTAAATTTCATCCCATTTTGTTACATCAGTTCTCAGGTCATCCAGTTCTTTCTGTATAATAACCCAATCCTCCTTTGCATTGACAGTGAATCCCAACTTTGTATCAATAGCAGATTGCGTTATCACAGTTCTACATATTAATTAAAATATTAAGTCTTTGATGACTTCCTTAATAACCTCCTTTGAATCTGAAAAGTTCTTTCGGCACAGTCTACGGTCATCTCTCCTTTAGCCAGTACTTTTCCAGCCTTGCAATACTTGGATTATCCCCATCATCTTCATTTGATCTGTCCATGCATCCTAGCTGTCTCTGCACCCGTTATCAAGAGTACATAGGGCTGTGATGGGTCAGCCTGACCAGAGGTGGAGCATTTGATAGTAATCAGTTTGCAAATTCCTGCCTGTTAGTTACTTTTAAAGTTTTCTTTTGTTGTCATTAATAAAAGAATAAAATTATGTAAATTAGTGACTTTATTTCTTTTATTTCTTTTGGGAAAGTGTGAGGGGTCATTTTCCAGGATAAGTTGTAGTTTGTCAAGGATGTGTTGGAAAGGTTTGAACTGGGAACTGTAGGTGATAAGTGGGGTTCTGTTGTTTTCTTTTTTGGGTCTGTCTTGAAGAAGCAGAGAGTCTCTGGATGAGGCCCTTTGTTAGCTGAAGGACTCTAGGGTGACTCCTCATTCACTGGGCATACTTCTTCCAGAAAACGAGATCTCAGCCATCTTAGACTGTGCTCAGCTCAGTTTTTCACCTACCATATGGTGTCAAAGGCACCTAAAAAGAATCCCTAAATACTGTTATCCAGGTCTGATGCAAGACCATCCTGTGCTTTTGATCCTCCCACTTCCACATCTCCTGGGGGCAGAATTACAGTTGGAAAAGAACAGGATTGCTCCGAGGTGGATGGAGTAGACGGACTTCTTTCTTGCAGATACTCATTCTGCCTCAAACACCAAAACCTGTGAGCAACAAATTAATCGCAGGTACACTCTTTTATCGGGGTTAGTATGCAAATACACATTTATTACAACTTCCCCTTTTGCTCTTATTTAGTAATAGGAACACCCATATGATTAGTAATAACCATGTGATGAATATAATTATATCCTCACTATTTACAGCACTTTTAGCTGAAGCTTGCAGCTTTTACAGCACAAACTCCCTGAATCAGCAGCTTACAAGAGGGAGAAGGAGCTGTGACCCTGAATATTTTTCTGAGCTAATGGGAAAGGAAGAGGGAGAACAAAGGGAGCCCAATTTTATACATAGGGTTATTCATTAGAAGTTACGTTCTTGGTGCAGCTGTGCACTTATCTATCCCAGGAAAACAGGAAGGGAAAGGGTAGCAAACTTTGTCTATCAAGCAGAAGAAATAGTGCTGTCTTCTTCCCTATACCGTTGTAATGGTTACCCAGGTCATTACTTAATCCTTACATACCCCAACAATTACCTTTGATAGTTAAGACCATCTCA